GCAAAGTTTTACACTGGGGCTTGCCCTGTTGTTGGTACTAGAACTCCATGATCACTATGTGAACAAGCACTTGAGCAAGCACACGGAGAGAGAGACCCCAGTCATCCCAGTGGAGACCATTATGAATCAGCCAGCTCCAACCAATCTACCTCTTGACCACAGATGCATAAGTGAACCAAAGCAAGAACAAACTGACCCTGGTATAGATGAAAAAAACCTACCCAGCTGAGCCTAATCCAAATTGCCATCCTGAAAAATAGCTAAATATACAGTGGTTATTTAAAACAACTAAGTTTGGGCTGATACTTGACAGAGCAATCGATAACCGATATAACCATCTACAGCTTTTTACTGTTTACAGAACTTGTATTGTATCACTGAACAAGTGATGTATACATAAGCACCACTGTGGGGAAAGTGTAATCAAATACCAGCATTCAGGCAATGATCTTTATTCTATAAGATGGCCTTTCCAGGAGTGTGCTCTTCTAGCTAGGTAACAAGACTAGCCAAGAGGACATTTGAGAGGGCATGGAGCAATGAACATGAAATCTTAACAGTTCATCTACATAAAAATTCAAAGACCACACTCTGAAAGTATATTCTATTTTTTACTTAACTTTTAGACAAAATAATTTGAGGATTCCTTAAGGTCCAAATATTAGTGATTATCGTCTAACAAATTATTTGGGATGTTTTCTTTACCAACCTAGAAATTTACTATGGTAAACTATGGTGCAAGAAAACTTTATTCAAAATCCTATCTTCCTATAAATGTTTAGTTTCAAAGATCTGACTAAATAAATATAGAATCTCTTAGGACCTACCAACAATGAGCATTACCAAAAAGGCTGAAGATTATTATACTTTGGTTAACAAGCTATGATTTGTTTGGCTTATATCACAACAGAATGTTGATAGGCTGGTAATATATGAGGTGACTCTTTTCAAGCAAAAGATGAGCATTTTGTTGTATAATAATTTGGCTGGACTTTGTCTCTAGTTTCTAGCAGGAAGTGGGGCACCTCAGACCTCACCTGAATTTATGCTAATAAGATGACTCAGGGTGGGTCTCTAGACAGTTTAAGGATGGGGGCTGACCATCTGGGAAATATGAACCATGTAATCAGGGAGTTGGAGCTTTGAGCTACGACTATCAGTCTGATCTCCAAACTGGGGAAGGGAGGGAAGCTAGAAATTGAGTTTAACCACATGGCGAATGATTTAATCATTCCTATGTATGAAACCCCAATAAAACACTTCCAGTCAAGATGGAGGCATAGGTTGACATGCTTCGCCTCCTTGCTCAACCATAAGAAGGATCACAACTAACCTCAAAACAAAAAACACCCAGAACAGCCAGAAAATCAAACTGTGTAAAAGTCTGACAACTAAGGATTTAAAGAAGCCATAATCCTCTAGACTGATAGGAGGGGCAGAAACGGGGAGCCAGGGCAGAGAGGACATGGAATGGCAGCAGTGAGGGGGCGGGCAGCAGAGGCTGACAGAATAGGCTGTCCTGCATTCATGTGTAGTGGATAAAAATCAGGAGGGATACCTGGGGAGCAAACAATCCCAGTACCAGGCGAGACCACAAAGCCCAGGGTTCCAGTGCCAAGGAAATAAAGCCTCACCACTTCTTGCTGTAAAATCTAATGGGGGCTAGGGTGGTGGAAGAAACTGCCAGTTTCTCAGGAGAGTCTGTTTAAAGGGCCTACATGGCCCATACGCAAACCCACCTACTCTGGGAACCACCACCAGGGCAATAGCTAGAAGGGCGTAGGTAGCATACAGGAAGCAGGTGAAGAGACTGAAAATGGGGAGAGTGCTGAGAAAGCCTCCAGTGGACAGGCAATGGCATTGTCCCCTCTCTGATCCCTCCCCAACATACAGAGCCACAAAGTGGTGAAAAGGGTTGCCTTACTCTGGCAATTACTTAAGGCTTCACTCCACACAATTTACAGGTACTTTTTACAGGGAGTCAAAGCATCTCTACTTAACACACAGAAACAAACACAGGGAGGCTGCCAAATTGAGGAGACAAAGAAATATGGCTTAAATGAGCTAAGAGAACAGAACCCCAGAAAAAGAACTAAACAAAATGGAGATAGCCAACCTATCAGATGCAGAGTTCAAAATACTGGAGATAAGGATGCTCAGAGAAGTCAATGAGTACGGCAAAAGCATAAGGGAAGAAATGAAGGCTACACTAAGTGAAATAAAGAAAAACCCACAAGGAACCAACAGTGAAGGGACAGAAGCCAGGGTTGAAATCAACGATTTGGAACATAAGGAAGAAATAAAGAGTCAACCAGAACAGAATGAAGAAATAAGAATTCAAACAATGAGGAGAGAATAAGAAGGCTCTGGGACATCTCCAAATGTGCCAATATCCAATCATCAGGATATCAGAAGGAGAAGGGAAAGAGCAAGAAATCGGAAAGTTATTTGAAAAAATAATGAAAGAAAATTTCCCTAATTTGGTGAAGGAAATCGGCATGCAAATCCAGGAAGCACAGGAGTCCCAAACAAGTTGGACCCACAGAGGACCACACCAAGACACATCATAATTAAAATGCCAAAGGTTAAAGATAAAGAAAGAATCTTAAAAGCAGCAAGAAAAAAAGGAGAGAGTTACCTACAAAGGAGTTACCATAAGAGTATCAGCTGATTTCTCAAAAGAAACTTTGCAGGGTAGAAGAGACTAGCAAAAAGTATTCAAAGGGATGAAAAACAAGGACCTACAAACTAGATTACTCTATCCAGCAAAGCTATCATTTAGAACGGAAGGGCAGATAGAGCTTCCCAGACAAGGTAAAGATAAAAGAGTTCATCATAACTAAGCCCTTATTATATGAAATGTTAAAGGGACTTACATAAGAAAAAGAAGATCAAAACTATGAACATTAAAATGACAACAAATTCCCAACTATCAACAACTGAATCTAAAAAAATAAAAACGAAAACAACTAGAACAGGATCAGAATCGTAGACATGGAGATCATTTGGACCGTTACCATTTGAGAAGGGGAAGGGAGAGAATGGGGGAAAAGGTACAGGGAATAAGAAGCATAATTTTCAGGTACAAAATAGACAGGGTGGTGTTTAAAATAGTACAGGAAATGGAGAAGTGAAAAAAATTATATGCACGACCCATGGACAGAAAACTAAGGGGTGGGGATTGCTGGAGGGAATGTGGGTATCAAGTGGAGTTGGGCAAAGAGGGAAAAATTGGGACAACAGTAATAGAATAACCAATAAAACATACTTTAAAAAACAAGATAATATAGATTTCTTAGAAATTTTTTAAAATAAAAATTTAAAAAGGACAGTTTTATAAAAAAGAAACCCCCCAAAAACTCCAGACACTCAAAATTTGAGTGAGGTTTCTCACTGATGATACACACTAATGTCTTGAAGGGTGATGGATCCTGAGGAGATAGAGTTTACATTTAGGACTCTCCCAGACCTTGCCCTATGGGCCTCTTTTTTGGCTGGTCCTAACTGAATCCTTTATAATAAAACTGTAATCCTAAGTATAGTGCTTTCCTGCGTTCTGTCAGTCATTCGAGCAAATTATCAAACCTAACAGGACGTGAGAATGTGTAGCCAGTTGGTCGTAAGTGTGGGTGGCCTGGAAACCCTGGAGATTGCAGCCGTGACTGAAGCGAGGGGAGTGTTGTACAGGATTGAGCTTTTATCTGTAAACTCTGACCTAACTCCAGGTAGTGTCAGAATTGCACTGCACATGGGAAAAGCAACTAAATACAAAGACATAAGAAGAGCAAAGAGAAGACTGGTAAATGACAACAGAAGTGATAGAATTAGCAATAATAACAGTAGCAGTCACCCATAGACTCAAAAATGAAAAGAAAGAAAAAGCACAGTATTAAAGGCAGAAGAGACAGGTGGAAGAATTGATAGAGAAAACTGAAGTGGAGTTAGGGAGTTAAGATGGCCAGCAACATGCACACTTAATAGTCTGGGGACTTGTTAATTCATTTAACAATTATCTATTAATTACCTGCTACATATAAGGCATTGTGCCCCATACTAAGGATATGTAGTGAACAAGAAAAACATGGTCCCCACTCTCATGAAGTTTACATTTTAGAGGGGAAGCTAAATACTAAATAGTTACACAATTAATTGTCATTGTGATACATGTTCCAAAGGATAAGCATATGATTAAATAAGAGTTTAATAGAGAGACATACAGATCAGTAACAAGCTAAATCTATAGTCCTAAAATATACACACATTCGTCTCTATTTGCAAATATACTCAACACAATATTACACATTATCAAAGTAATACACAATAATATAAATTTTATTTTTTTGTATTTTTCAATTTTTTAAAATTATTGACATACAATTTTATATTAGTTTTAGGTGTATGATACAGTGACATTTATATATCTTACAAAGTGACCACAATAACTGTAATACTATCTGTCATCATAAATAGTTATAATATTACTGATTCTATTCCCTTTGCTGAGTATTATTTAGCAAAAGGAATAGAATCAATAAAGGGACTTTATTTTAAAGGGATGGTATCAATAAGAAAAAATTCAGGTTAAATACCTCATCTTCCACTAAAAATAGCACATTTCCTTAGGTAACTGGTATTTAAACATTTCCCATATCTGTTTGTCAAACTTAGGTTCACCTTAACATACAGTTATAACCCCACCCAAATTTTAAAGTCATACACTTCCCCTAACCTAAAAAAATATTTCTGATCCATAAAAATAAACAAACACTGAAACAAAAATAAGCATCAAATCACCAGATATGACACCCTGACTTCTGAACTTCTGAGCAAAAAAGACTTCAAATACATATTTCATCAAGATTCAGAGGTCAATTTCTACTAAGTGTTGCTAATGATCAGTTTTTAGTTTTTAAAAGAGATGGATTAATTTGAAGTTGTTTTTAATATAAAATTCCTAAAAACTTTCTAAACGAGTCAATTAGACAACTGGAGTTTCTTACCTGTAGTCATCTAACTGTACCAGAAATCGTACAATATCATGATGAGTTTTCAGTACAAGCAGTTCAGTGTAGGGGTTCTGGGTTTGTTCTTCACCTATTGTCTGTAAAGGAGATTTCTTGTATTGGGGGTGGGGAGCCAAAACAAAAGAGAAAGAAATAAAATGATTTATGATAAAAGGCATATTGGAATAAAACTGAACCTAAGAATACAAAACTTAAAAAGCTGTATCATGTTCTAATACTATGTACAGGGTGGGGCAAAAGTAGGTTTACAGTTTTTTATATAGAAAATAATACAACAATAAGTAATACTGTAAGAATAAATTGTTTAATATACTCACAACTGTAAACGGACTTTTGCCCCACCCTGTACTGTTTCCCCTAATATCAACTGACTGCCAATTTAACACAAAACATTTTTCTTTAACACAAAACACAAATCCACCACATAAACTTTAGTATTTTCAAGTCACATTAAATTTACAAAAAGACTGAATTTTATTTTGTGGAAATTAATGGGCCAATCCTACTCAATATTTTCACATCGGTGTTTCTCAGTTGGAACTTGGCAGAAACAAAACTGCAGGTCAAAGGGATAAAACAGAAAACAGACTAAAGTAGTGCCTAATCCATTATGGGCACTCATTATGTTTGCTGAATGAATAAGGAAGGAATGAAATCATTAAGAGTCAATGAATACAACTGTGAAAAATAATATTGATAAAGATAATTGCCAACATTTTCAGAGTATTAGGTGGCAGTCCATATGTCAAATACTGTGCAAAGCAAACATGGCATATAACTCAGTAACTCTGTAAGGTAAGTCTTATTAACCCCATTTCTATAGTCAAACCCAGTACTAGTTCATAAAACCACTGTTCTTAACCTCTAAACTGCAGTTTTTCAAACTTCACACTATTGGCATTTGGACTAGGTAATTCTTTGTTGTTCAGGGCTGTCCTGTGCACCACCATGTTCAGCAGCATCCCTGATTCCTACACATGATATGCCAATAGGAATTCACCCCCACCCCAAATTGTGACAATCGACAATGTCTCCAGACATTGCCAAATGTCCCCTAAGGGGTAAAATTATCCCAGCAGAGAAACACTGCTGGGACTAGAAGCCTAGATTCAAAGTTCTTGCATAAATCAAGGCAAATCATTGGTTCTGATAATGAACAAATTCACAGCAGCTATGAAAGTGAAATATTGTACTTTTATGCATGTTAAGTTGTACATTTCTTCATGTAAATGTTTTCCAAAAAATTCACCCCCAACCAGTAATTTTTTATTTATCCCATGCCCCTTCTAGCAATGAAAATCAAAAGTGAGAAATATGAAAACTATATAATACTTTCCCCAAATAAAAGCATGTCAGATATGGCAAAACTAGTCAATAAAAGTCCCTGATTCATCCAATAACGAGGATTGTACAGAATTGTCATATATGCATCCTATATGGACTACTCAACTTGCCACAATCCCTCCATAATCTTTAGGATTTCAGTCTCTCTAAAATACACCTAATTTTAAATAAGAAATACGTTTTTTTAAAAAAATAGAGAATAAGCCTTAACTACAAAGATGTGAGGAAGACTGAGAATTTGTTGACTCACAACAATCCAACTTTTCTATTTTTAAGTCAAAACAAGTATTTTTTATGAGAAATAAAAGGGAATTCAACACAAATTCTATTCATGGGTGGCATATGAATTAAATTCCAAACCTCAGTAGTTTTAAGGTTGCAAAACTATTTTATTCGCAACATTTCATATATAAATCTCATTACAGTCTATTCGATCATTCAGGCCCATGAAGAAAACGTGACTAATGAATCAAAAATAGCAATTAGATAATTCTCTTGACTTTGAAGAGATATATTTTTAAATAATTATATATTTTTTGGTTCTTGGATAAAAAAATCAAATCAACTTTATATGTCCTGAGCAAGTATCAGATGCTTTGGGGAAGTGATACCAATTCAAATAAATCAAAAGTGTAAAGTTACAGTCACCACTTGATTCTATTGTAGTCAGTCAGATACTTTTTAAAAAGTGAAATGAGACTGGTTTAACTAGGGAGAAGACTAGCTGAGTACTTCCTCGAGCGCACTGTTGAACCACATCAGCTTCATTTTCCTCATTTCTTGGAACAGAGCTACTGCATTTAACTCACAGGGTCTTAGGAGAATCAAGTACAAATTAGCAGCAAAAAGAGCGCCGCCCCCGCCCCCTCACCCACAGCAACACATAGGCCCCGCCTCCGACACAGCCTCCATTGTCTAGCCTTGGGTTCCCATCTCTGACAGAAGCTTCAGCAGGGGCAGGCAGGCTCCACCCAGGGGTTTACCTCTGCCAGTCCTTGAGGTTCTCGGCTTCCCCCGATCAGCCAACGCAACATCCGGGTAAGATGGTGTCTTCCCGACCCTAGTCAGCCCGAACTCTATGCCGGCCTCAGCCTCCTCCTACCTCTCAGGAAGTAGAGCAGTAGAGCTGCAAATACTTGCCGCTCCAGATTTGCCCACGTAAAAAGCAGTGCAAAGCAGAACCCACAAAGGCGTTAAGATATTTGTCTGCAAAGCGCTACCGTACCCAGCCACAGAGGATTTGTTTGAGGTAGCCACCAGGGAGGGCAACAGCAGCTGGGGCAAGAAGACTTCAGAGGCACCCGCAGCTCCAAGTGAGCAGGCGCGGGGCGACGCCCACTTTGCTGCTGAACTTAGGTAGCTTGAGCGGCCCCTGCTGGAAGTGTGTGGCGCAGCATCTGAGCCCGACGAGCAAGCGCCTACCAATCAATAGTCCCCTTGCTTCCTTCACTTAGCTGAGGGGCAAGGAAACCAGGTTTCAAGAACTGGCTGAAGAAGATGACATTTGTATCCAGACTAATCCAATGGCATATGTGTATATCAGAATTAACCTGGTCATCATCTTTTGTGTGGTGTAGTACAGATACTGTGCTAAGGCTTTACATAAATCCTCACAGTAATCCTACAGTTCTATCTTATAAAGAAACTGAAGCTCTGAAAGATTGGACAGTCTGTCAGAAGCCAACAGCTAGGAAGTGGCTACAAGGAGACTGAAACTCAATCTCCAAACTCTTGACTACTCTGTGTGGTCTAACCCAGAATCTCCCTAAAGAATAGAGGGCAATTCATTCCTGTATTTTGACTATTAAACTTTCTTAGTCAAAGAGCTATGGTTCTCTACTGTAACTGCATATCACAAGTACCCAATACATATTTTGAAAAATATATATCCTGGCTCCTACATAGACTTATTAAACTACCTGTACAATTAAAACATAAGAACCAGGGTTTGAAGAAAATTCCTCAGGTGATTCTGATGAGTGACAAGGTTTCAGAATCACTGGCTTAGGAACTACTTATGCACATGACTGTAAATGTTCATACGTATATTTGCATAGGTGACTGTCAGATTCCAATGAGGATCCTAGCAGTAAATTCTTAAAGAGAAACTAACACAGGTGCCCCAACCAATATATTAATTCAACATACATGTACTGGGCACAGATGCACTTGAGATTCAAAAGTAATCACATAAAATTGCTACTTTGTGGATCAAGGCGGAATATCTATAATAGGGCCATACTCTAAGACAGGTTGGTTATGGACAGCTGCTCAATCTGACAGTCCCTAGAGAACTTGGATTTTCTATAATTTATCTTTGTATTTATTTTGAGTGCACTTGACAAAGGAATACTCCCAAGGGTCAGGAGAAGTTTGCCCCAAATTGCAATCTACATGCTGTTGAAAAGAGACCAAAATAGAGACAAGCCCCTAGAGAAGGGGGACTCATCTTTAGTAAAACAAAAACCAAGAATACTAGGATTTTAGTCCTGGAAGGACAATCTTCAAGTGAGGCAACATGGTTGCACAGGTAGCCTAAACTTTACCCTAATTTTCCGTGTTCTTTAGGGATGGCACACTGCCTCATTACTCTGATCCAAAGAACACTCTCCTGGTCTTTAAAGCACTGTTCCGGGGGTAAACACTTTCTGCCTTGGTTCCTTTTAGGAGAGCTGAAAAATAACTTTATAAAAAATATACTAGAATGACTTCAGGGAAGCTGGAGGAGTAAGAAGCCTCAAAAATCCATCTCTCCATCTCTCCACCTCGATGACAACAATTGTACTGTCAGAAATTGTGTGGACTAACTATTTTGGAACTCTTAAGTCTTTAAAATCTTGCAGCTTCCAGGGAAAATCTTGGCTAGCACAGATTCTGGCCACCATTGTTTCAACCCCAACTTTTCAACCCCTAGCTACTTCCAGAGGATTTAAAGGAATAGCACACTTGGGATTTTTTTTTTCCTCCACTGCACTTTTCTTCCTTTGGGGAGCTGGATATTTAAGGATTAGGACACTCAAAAACAACCACATATGTAGAGGAATTACAAAGGTCACCACACATGCCCAGCAAAAAATACAGGCTCAAAATTGACCAGAGGACACCTTTAGCTTTCACCTCAGACTGATCCCCACCACAGAGACAATTTTCAATAGTCATAAAAAAAAATAAAATAAATCAAAACAAAAATCCCTAAAAAACTCTGGGGGAGGGTAAGAATCTCATTTCCAGAGTTAATCTTCCATTAAAAGATTCAAATGTCCAGTTAAAAAAAAAATGCAAGCATACAAAGAAACAGTAAAGTATGGCCAAACCAAAGGAACAAAATTAATTGACAGAAACTGATTCTGAAGAAGCCCACACATTGGACTTACTAAAGACTTTTTAAAATGTCTTAAAGGAATTCAAAGACCTAAAGGAAGATGTGGATAAAGACAGGAAAACAACATATGAACAAAATGAGTATATCAATAAAGACAAAGACCATTATATAAAAAAAGAACCAAATGAAATTCTGAGGTTTAAAAAATACAATAACTGAAATGAAAAATACACTAGAGGGGTTCAAAAGCAGAAATAAGCAAAAAGAAAAAGAAGCAGCAAAGGTAGGACAATTAAAATGATCAAGTCTTAGCTATTGTAAATTGTGCTGCTAAGAACATTGGGGTGCATAGGTTCTTTTGGATTGGTGTTTCAGGGTTCTTAGGATATAGTCCCAGCAGTGGAACTGCTGGGTCAAAAGGCCGATCTAGGTGCCCATCAGTAAATGAATGGATCAAAAAACTATGGTACATTTACACAATGGAATTCTATGCAGCAGAAAGGAAGAAGGAGCTCCTACCCTTTGCAACAGCATGGATGGAGCTGGAAAGCACTACACTAAGCAAAATAAGCCAGGCAGTGAAAGATAAATACCATATGATCTCACCTTTAACAGGAACCTAAACAACAAAACAAAGAAACAAGCAAAATACAGTCAAAGACACTGAAATAGAAGACAGCCTGACAGTGACCAGAGGGGAGAGGGGAGGGAATTTCAGGGGAAAAAGGGAAGGGTTTACAGGAACAAATATAAAGGACACATGGACAAAAACTAGGGGGAGGGTGGTAATGGGAGGAAGGTGGGGAGGGATGGGTGGTTGGGCTGGAATGGGAGTAAAGGACAGAAAAATGTACTTGAACAATTATTAAAATTTAAAAAAAGTATCAAGTCTGAGGAACAAAAAGAAAATAGAGCAAAGAACAGTAAACAGAGCCTAAAGGACCTGTGGAATACCATCAAGTAGATCAACATATGAACATAGGAGCCCAAGAAGGCAAAGAAAGTGACAAAGGGGCAGAAAAATATTTGAAAAAATAGTGGCTTCAAACTTCCCAACTTTGCTGAAAGACATGATTCTGGAAGTCCAAGAAGATTAATGACCTCCAAGTAATGTACATACAATGGAACAGCATTCATCCATGAAAAGAAAAATAAAATTTGCATATTTCTACAAGATGTACTTTGAAAACATTATGCTTAGTAAAATAAGCCAGACAAAGAAGAACAAATGTTATATGATTTCATGTATATGAAGTCCTTAGAACATACAATTTCATATACAGGGAAAGGGGAATACAGGTTACCATGAGCTGAGGAGAGGGGAGAATTGAGAGTTATTGCTTAATAGATAGAGTTTATGTTAAGAATAATTTTTAAAAGTGTTGGGTATAGATAATGGCGATAATTTTACAACAGTGTAAATGTATTTAATGCTGCTGAATTGTACACTTACAGATGGCTAAGACGATAAATATTATGTTATATATATTTTACCACAAAAAAACACAAATAGATCAATGAAACAGAATATGGAATCCAAAAATAGAATCTCATACACACACACACACACACACATATGTGCATATATGTGTGACCTTATATGGAAACCTTTTTTTTTTACAAAGGTAAAGACCATCAGTGGAACAGATAGTCTTTTCAATGAATGATGCTGGAACAGTTTGACATCCATATTCAAATTAATGATCTTCAATCTATATCTCACTCCATACACAAAATTTCAGATGGATCATAGACATAAGTGTAGAATCTAAAACTAAAAAAGTTCTAGAAAAAAATAGAAAAAATCTTTATGACCTTACACTAGGCAACATTTCTTAGATATGACCTCAAAAGCACAATATGTAAAAGAAAAAAGTGATACTACTTGATGAAAATTAGTATTTCTTATCTTTAAAAGACATTGTTAATAAATTGAAGGGACAGGTCATAGACTGGGAGAAATATCTGTAAATAATTATCTGGTAAAAGGCTTATATCCAGAATATAAACCTCAAAATATAATCAGGGTCCATTTGTAGGTAAAGAAGGAATAAACACACAATACCTTTCTTCCCAGTTGAATACTATAAAACTTGGCCAGGCCCTGGCCAGGTTGCTCAATTGGTTGGAGGATCCTCCCATACACACACATGCACACACACAAGGTTGCAGGTTTGATCCCCCACCAGGGCACATACCTAAGGTTGTGGGTTCAATCCCCAGTCTGAGTATGTACAGAAGGCAACTGATTGATGTTTTTTTCTCTTTCTCTCTTTCTCGCTCTCTCTCTCCCCGATCCCTTCCTCTCTTTCTAAAATCAGTAATATATCCCTGGGTGAGGATTACAAATAATAAAAATATTTGCTACACACTTAGTGTTTTCAAATTTCAATCCCTTTCCATTATCCTAATTTTTCCTCATAACCACTCTCTGAGGAGAGGCAGGAGAAATAACTACATTTTATAGATGATGAAACTGAGTCTCAAAGATATCAAGGTCCACAGTCTGTTAAGTGATGGAGCTAAGGTTTAAAGCCCAGGTTTTTCTAACTCAGGATTTTAAAATTAGAATTTTAAAAACAATAACCCCATTAATTAGAATTTGTACTAAATAAAGTGTTGTTTAAAATTTTTAGAACTTCCCACTGAAAGATCTTCTAGATAATTCTTCTTTAAGGCTCTCTTTTATTTTCCCCTAAAACAAACACAACCAGTTCATTTTCTCCAGCCGATCCCTTTCCAACACACTCCACTGCACCAATATATCTTGTGCTCTCATTCAAACAAGGAATTATTCAGCTAAGGATTTTGCATTCCTACTAAAGAGTTTGCTGCATATTTTGTGGAATTGAGCAGAATGCTGCAGAATTTTAAATTGAGTTCTCTGTCTCTATCTCTAGTGGCTTTTCATTCATAATTATAATATTTGTAATGAGTGCACTGGTGATGACAGAAATCCAACATAACATATTCCAC